TCCCTGTAGTCCTTTGGAAATTCCTGCCCCAAGGAAGGGAGAGGCAGAAAGCTCCTGAGAGGAGAGCGCCCTCTGAGGTAGGATCTGTCTGTTCCTGGTTGGAGGGTTCAGGGGGATCAGGGGCCTCTCTGCCCTTGGCATCTCCTGGGGGAGGTCACTAAGAATCTAGGTGGCGGAGCTGAGGTTGAGCAGGGATCTGCGAGGTCCAGAAGGAGAGGTCCTCTGGGACTGAGGCAGAGGGGCTTCTGTGAGAGAGCAATGAGACCAGAGGCTCTTCTGTGGGCCCCACAGACTTCAGCAGGCAGCCACCCGTGGTCTCCCACCAAGACAAGAGAGAGTTGCACACCTCTGTGCCACCCAGTCGGGGCGCCCCGGCAGGGGTCAGCCAGGTCCTTTTGAGAGTCTAGAGCCTTCCCAGTCCCTGAGAAGTCATGTGAGCTCCTCTCTGTTCCCAGACAGATTATCAGCTGGCGCATCATAGGCACCCCTGTAGTCCCACATAAAGCTCCTGAGGCTGAGATGGAGACACCGAGCCGGAATGACGCGCAGCTGAGCTATGATCGACCACTCGCACTACCAGACAGGTGAAAGGAAGAGTCACGCTGAGCTCAAAAGAAAAAATCAATAATCAAAGAAACAATTGAGACGATTAAACATCTGAAATATCTTCTGCTTGATTTTTCCCTGAGTCCTCAGGCTTCACCCCTGGTATCCTTTGAAATCCTGCCAAGGAAGGGAGAGGCAAAACTCCTAGAGGAGAAGCCCTCTGAGGTATGGAATGCGTCTCTGTCCACAGGAGGGATGGAAAGCCTCATGGGTGTCCGAGGGGACTGGCGAGGAACAGGATGAAGAGGAAACGCGGGTGGGAAGACACGAGGCTACTGCAGAGAATTTCCTCCTGGTGACAAGGGTGTCACCTCGGGGCGACAATCAGCGCAGGCCCCTCGGCCTCTACGCGCCCTCGGCATCTCTGGGGCGAGGTCACCTTAAGAATCTAGAGTGGTCAGGGCCTCTCGCAGCTGTGAGGTTTGAAGCCGCGCAACGTACTACCCCGCGCGACTGAACGAGAGGTCCCTCGAACCTCGCAGCGAGCGAGACACTTCGCTTAGAGAGCAAATGAGTCCACGAGCTCTCTCCTGCGCCCACGACAGGTCCTCTGCACCCTATAGTAGGTGCGCCAGCAGGCAAGACACCCACGAGAGCTCGACACACCCTCTGTCCACCTCAGTCAGGAGCGCGCCCCGCTATGAAGGCAGCGCTCCCAACACAACACAGAGCTGGAAATGAGACGAGTCCAGACGCCTCTACACCACACTTCTTAGACGATATCCATGTGAGCTCCCCTGTTCCCAGACAGCCCACCTTGGGAGGGAGCAGGGGGTGGAAAGAGCCTAAATACGACGTTACTATTTTGAATGATTTAGTAAGCTTTCCATAAAAGGCCTTGAAACCAAAAGAGACCAATTACTTTGATGCATTTCAACTATTTTCCACATCAGCGAAGAGAGCTCAGAGTGATGAAGCAGATGGACAATGACGGAGGTTTGATTTTTAACTCTAGTATCAGTGGCAAGGTCACCCAGAACATAACCTCCACTCTGACCCATCCCACCCCTCCTTAAACCGCCAGCTCCCAGGCCTTCCTTCATCCCGAGTCCAGGTTAAGGCCCCTGCTGCAGGTTGTGCCGCGGAGGGTGCCCGGCACATGGGTAGGACGCAGGGCTCCCCTGAGCCAGGCACGTGAGCTGGATGTTTTGTCGAACAACCCAGGCCCCCCCAGGCAGTGTTACAAGAAAAAAACACGATCGTGAGGCTGGAGCTGACAACGTTTCAATCCATTACACAGCACACACTGCTTCCACTGGAGCTGAGAACAGTCCCATTGATCATGGATCTGAACCGTCCTGCGAGACCCCTTGACAGTCCCAGAAAAGGGGACGGCCTGCAGTAAAAGGCTGGGGACCATGCAGTCAGGTGGGGCGGCCCTCCTGTCTTGCCCCCCTCCAGCGCTATGTTCGCTGCCCGGCTGGGTGTACATGCCGCCATGCAAGGGAGAGGGGTGCGGCCTATGACCAGTATATACGGAGTCTCAGCCCCAGGGGTCTTGGGTCCGTG